CTGCATGGGCCACAGATCCTGAAACTGTAGGATGGGCCACAGATCCTGAAACTGTAGGATGGGCCACAGATCCTGAAACTGTGGGATGGGCCACAGATCCTGAAGCTGCTGAATGGGCCACAGATCCTGAAGCTTCTGAATCGACCACAGATCCTGAAGCTGCTGCATGGGCCACAGATCCTGAAACTGTAGGATGGGCCACAGATCCTGAAACTGTAGGATGGGCCACAGATCCTGAAGCTGCTGCATGGGCCACAGATCCTGAAACTGTAGGATGGGCCACAGATCCTGAAACTGTGGGATGGGCCACAGATCCTGAACCTGCTGAATGGACCACAGATCCTGAAGCTGCTGCATGGGCCACAGATCCTGAAACTGTAGGATGGGCCACAGATCCTGAAGCTGCTGAATGGACCACAGATCCTGAAGCTGCTGCATGGGCCACAGATCCTGAAACTGTGGGATGGGCCACAGATCCTGAAGCTGCTGAATGGACCACAGATCCTGAAGCTGCTGCATGGGCCACAGCCTGCCTTTTTCTCCCCCCACCCCCCCGCCCAGAAGGGGCCTGTAGGAGTGACACCCCGTTCCCCACAGCATGAAAACACACAGGGGAACAAAGGAGCGACAGAGCTCACCAAGCCATGACGCCCAGGGGAGAGCCAGATGTTTAGGAACAATCAGCATTATACTGGAGGGGGCGGAATCAGACTCCATGAAGCAGGCCCACACAGCACTAGAGTGACAGAGATGACCTGTGACACCACATCATCCTCAGCATCCAGCAGACAATGATTTCTATGGGTCTCACAATCACACTTAGATGATGACTAACTCCAAGCTTCTGTGTTTGGGCTCACTAGCCGTGCAGAATGAGTCAAATTCATCTTGCAGATTCTCTGATTCACTAGGGAAGCTGCTATTGGCCGGTTCTGTGGTCATGTGATCTACCGGGTTCGTGATGTAATTCATCAAACCATGAAAGCTTGATTCATCAGGTATACCAGTGATCCCCACAGACTAAACCAACTGAACAAACTATACTATTACCACAATTCAGATGACAGAAGAAATAATCCCACATAGAGACCAACAACAACTGTTTCCTTAAATTGTGGATACTGTTATTGTTATTAATTGGTAAAATGTAAATGCTGTAAATGCTTTAGAATTACAGTTCCAGTTAAAAAAAAAAAGTCATTAATCATTAATTGCGTTATGAAATGGTGGTAATTTACAAAGTGCCATTTTGTCAGCCACTCAGGTGTGGGCTGCGGCTGACACCTCATCTGTCACATGTCATCACCTAGATCTCCTTCCCCCGCACGCTCGGCTCTCACGGTAATTTGCCTCCTTAAGATCCGAAAGCGCAGCACTCCCGTGTTTCCCCGAAGCTGCTGAACAGCTGGGGATAGAATTATCCCGGGACAGTCGATGCGTCTCGTGGGCGTTGGAGGGAGGGAACCCTCGCGCACCTCGGCCGGGGTCAGGAGCGACTCCCACCACCATCCGATAACAGGATGATCAGAAACATTTTGTTTAGTGTTATATATGCTGGGCGGCGCAGGGAGTGGCAATGATGCCGCCAGAATTCCTCTGAAGTCCAGTGTGATCAAAGAAACGTGGGATGAACATGTTCTGGGATCGCTGGTATTTGCTAAGGTTCCCATGAGTTCAGCCCAAAATCCAGCGTCAATAGCCTACTTAGAATAAAGGAAGAATCTGTCCCATCACTTTTAAATCGACGCAATGCCATATTTTCCCTGTTTAAACCTTAAGCAATTACATATGTCTTGTTCAGCAGTGTTTACAAACAAAACAACCGTTGCATTCAAGTCGGGCTCGTTGTAAAATAGCAATGCGGCATGTTCGACGTTCCACGCCGAATGTATAAGAAAGGTTACATCATTGGCGCTAAGCAGATGGCCACGTAATATATGCATTATTACAGACGTCGTTATCTCGTATACGGATTATTGCAGGGAAATATGCTCGGCATGCGGGCGACAGGGTGGCCTCACGCCGTCAGGGTTAAGGGTTCGAGTCCCGTCACCGCTCTGTATATCTGGAGTTTTCATGACATTCAATGGTTTCATTCCGCAGACACACGTAAGACTAAACTGCCCGTAGTATATGATTGTGCACGCATGTGTCCTGCGTTGGACTGGCATCCCGTCCAGGCTGTACTCCGCCTTTTGCCATTTTCTGCTTGGGAAAGGCTCCAAGACCCCCTGCGACCTTGCTCAAGATAGGCGGATGTTGTATGGGTTGAATACACTGCAAAGCCGTACCAAAAGCCAGCTACGATCTCGTCGGATCGGTGATTCCTGTTTTCCCCGTTTCTCACA